ATTTTAAAATACTTTCAACTTAACAAATTGACATTAGTACTTTTATATAGTTCCTAATACTTTTTCGATTAATAAGTTAAAATGTTTCATCTCAGAATATGATTATCTTACTGACTTGAATCAACTAATGAGTTAAAATGGTGAAAGATATTAGAGCTATTTACCTGGATATTCAGCCGGTGGGAAAGAAGTAGAAGAAGCAGAGGCTATAATTGGGAAAGATTTCAAGATGGGTTTTCTCCAAATAGAAGGAATTTGTGTCACGACCCGGATTTTCCACCTTCGGGAACCGTGATGGTGCCTACTAATGGAAGCTAGGCAAGCCAAATTTAATTATTTGACCATTAATAATCTAGTCCATTTTAACAATTTGCGACAATAATACAAAAGCAACGAAATTCAATAATAAGCGGAAGTCTTAACATTTTATAAAAAATGAATAGAAATGCGGAAAGTTCAACCAAATCCTCTACCCAAGACTGGTGTCACTGTACTCACGAACTGCTAAGAATACTACATACAAACGTCTGAAAGAGAATATAAGCTGTTTGTCTTGATTACAATGAAATAACAGATGAAAATAAAGGATAGAGGAGACCCGGCGCCTGCAAGGCTACCTCGGGTCTCGCTGAAATGAAGCCTACTCTCACACTACTTCTGCTGCTGCTCGAAACCTAGTCCTGTGCAAAATAGCACAGAGTGTAGTATCAGCACATCCGACCCCATGTGTTGGTAAGTGTCTAGCCTAACCCCGGCGAAGTAGTGACGAGGCTAGACCGGACTACCACATAAACCTGTGCAGTTATATATACATATACAGCGGAATCGAAATACGGAGATAAGAAATCAATATGGGAAGGGGGGAGCATGCTAAGGGGAAATAACAATTTCAAGTAAAAGTCGTCCAGCAACGAAGGAATTAACACAACTCAGACATTAATAAAGAGACAGAAAGCAACAAGTGCACGGCATCACCCTTCATGCTTCTACTCTCATCCTCACCAAGCAATGATATAATAAAATGTGCACGGCATCACCCTTCGTGCTTTTACTCTCTTTCCTCACAAATAATCAATAGAATCGGCACAAAATGGTACATCGTGCGGCACGGCATCACCCTTCGTGCTTTACTCTCTTTCCTCACCATAAACAAACAATGCACGACATCACCCTTCGTGCTTTAACACTCTTTCCTCACAATAAACAAACAATCACAAACAAGGGGGCAAGGGAATGAACAAAATAATAAAAGAAATCCCGGCAAGGGAACACAATTAAACAATTAAATCCCGGCAAGGGTATAACATCAATAATCTCTACGTCCCGGCAAGGGAATAAATCATTAACTTTTCACTTTCTTTCACTTTCATCTCATAGTTCACGTTATCACTTGAGGCAATGCTCCAATGAGTTACTTATCTCATATACCTTCACAATTTGTATTTCAACCCGAGCCAATGCTCCACGAAGTTCAAGATCACAATTTCTTTCACAAGATCTTTACAACATATAGAAATCATCAATTTAGCATGGAAGGCATAACAACAACCAAACTATTCGCAAAATAAGGACTCACGGTCATGGACACCAATGTATAGATACTCGTCACCATGCCTATACATCGTACTCGACAATTAACAAGTTACAATTAAGACTCAACTCCTATTCCCTCAAGCTAGGGTTAAACCAAACACTTACCTCGATGCTTTGAACTCAACTCAAGCCTCAACTATAGCTTTACCCCGTGATTCCACCTCCAATCCGCTCGAATCTAGTCACAAGTCACTTAATTACTTTAATAAACACTAAATGAATCAATTTGAATGCATAAAAATAAATTTTCCAAAGTTTTTCCCAAAAATTCCAAAATCTCCCCCAGGCCCACGTATTCAAAACCCAAGGTTCGAACCAAAACCCGGTTATCCATTCCCCCACGAACTCAAATATGTAATTTGTTTTGAAATTGGACCTCAAATTGAGGTCCAAACCCCCAATTTTTGAAAACCCTAGGTTCTACCCAAAACCCCCAATTTCACCCATGAAAATCCTTGATTTTAAGTGGAAAACATGTTAAATGATGTTAATGATTGAAAGAACTGAGTAAAAATTGACTTACAAATGATTTGGAATGAAACTTGTTCTTGAAAAATCGTCTAAGGAGTTGTATTTTGAAAGTGGGGTGAAAAATGGCCTAAAATTCGACCAAGTATGGAAAAATGCAGGCTGTAGATATGGGAATTGCGAACTGGGGTTCGCAATTGCGAACCCCGACCAATTATGGGAATTGCGAACAATAATTCGCATTTGCGAACTCGGACCCAGCTGGAAGACTTCGCATTTGCTACAATTCCATCGCTTTTGCGAAAACTCAATCTTCGCATTTGCGAAGTAATGCTTCGCATTTGCGAGCCAAGGCAGGCCTGGGCTGGTTTCGCATTTGCGAACCAGCCTTCGCATTTGCATGAGCTGGACCTTCGCATTTGCGAAGCCTGCAGATCAGAGATACCAGATTTTCAAAAATGCAAAAATGCAATCCGACACCAATCCAAAACTCACCCGAGCCCTCGGGGCTCCAAACCAAATATGCACACAACCTCAATAACATCCTACGGACTTACTCGTGCGATCAAATCGCCAAAATAACATCAAAAACAACGAATCAAACCTCAAATCACAAGTTTTTCCTCAAACCTCATAAACTTTCAAATTTAGAGTTTTAAGTCCGAAACACGTCAAACGACGTCCGATTTCAACCAAACTTTACAGAAAGCGCTTAAACCACATATAAGACTTGTACCGGGAGCCGGAACCAAAATACGGGCCCGATACCATAGTCTTTTAATCAAATTTCATTTTCATTTTCCTTAATCATTTCCAGAAAACAATTTCACACAAAAATTCATTTCTCGGGCTTGGGACCTTGGAATTCGATTCCGGACCTACGCCCAAGTCCCATATTTTCCTACGGACCCTCCGGGACTGTCAAATCACGGGTCCGGATCCATTAACCCAAAATGTTGACCGAAGTCAAATTTATTCAATTTAATATCAAAATTTAGCATTTTTCTCACAGAATTCATATTTAAGCTTTCCGGCTACGCGCCCGGACTGCGCACGCAAATTGAGACAATCCCAAATGAGGTTTTCAAGGCCTCGGAAGCACGGAATGAATAAAAAAATAGGTAATGACTCTTTGGGTCGTCACAATTTGCTTCCTCCTGGTTTGTAATTGCAATTGAGGATAGGCGAGACAATTAGGCAGCAGATGAAGTACACAAATACTCATGTTTTAATTTACTTTTCCTTCTCAAAATAGACACTCCGGCAAATCACTTTGGTCAGCTGCTCTTCCAGTAATTGACGAATTTTCAGACAGACTCGAGCATGTAATTGAGTATTTAAACCTCCGACATATAAGGGACAATAGACGTGGGTAATGTAAGCTGCAATTTTTAGCTTATCTTTTTGGTGTTTGCTTATAATAATAAGTTACTCTAAACATGCCATATAATTTGTTATAAATTTTTTAAAATTTTTAGCCTTAAATATATCATAAATATTTATATAATTATAAAATCTTCTTGTTAAAAAGCAAAAATT